AAATAATCTGTAACACAACATAAAGAGCTAATTTCCTTAAAACAAAAAGAACAACATAGTGTTGTAGTTAACTGCAGACTCAGGTTCAAGACTGGCTAAAAAAATCTGAATTCTTGTTCTTCCTTTTACCAAGCCATGATTGGACAAATTATTTAGCCTCTCAATGCCTATGTTTACTTTCTATAAAAAGTAGATAATAGTTTCGATCTCAGGATAGAAGGATTCAGAGGATTCAAAATAAAGGTTCTAAAATAGGTCTATGCATATAAGCACTATAAATGTATTTCCTATTTTTGGTATCTAATAAAACAGTAAGAAAAACAAACTGCACAGCAGGGCCTACAAACTCAAAATTCATTCATTTGTTCAACATATATGCACTATTCCTTATGTCTGGAATATTATTAGTAAATATAAAGCCAAAATTTCTCCCCTGCATAGTTTACACTCTAATGGGGAAAATAACAGATGATTAAAAAAAAATAAGCAAATAATATATGAGGAAGAATGCTTTCAGAAAAAAGGAACAGGAATAGGGCACATTGGTCAGTGAGAGGCTGACAAGGGAAGAGAACATGCAAACTTAAACAGGAAAACTAATGCAGACTTCTCCAAAACGGTCACCTTCCAGCAAAGAATTAAGGAGCCTACCCATGCAGCTATCTGGGAAGAACATCCCATACAAATGGAGAAACCAAGACAAAGGCCTTAGTGTAAAGGCGTGTTTGGCACGTACAAGGTATACCTTGTAAGTCAGGTAGCTTCTTAAAAACTTTAGCTTTTATTCTGAGTTAAATGAGGAGCTACTATAGGTTCTGAGCATTCAAGTAACAGATTCTTTCATTTAAAAAAAAAAAAAAATCATCTGGCTGTTACATAGTGAAGTCAGTAGAAGAGCAAAGGTAGAAGCAGGGAGACCACTTAGATGATTACTACTAAAATCCAGGAAAGAGATAATGGTGGCACGGGCCAGAGAGGTTGAGGTGGAAGGGATAAGTGGACTAATTTGAGATATTTTTTGAAGTATATCCAATAGAATTTTCTGACATACTGGATAAAGACTGTGAGATAAACAGGCAAGTAAAGGATGATTCTACAGTTCTGGCCTAAGCAACAAGGACAGAGATGAAGAAGAGTGAGTAGAACTGGTTTTCAGGGTAAGATCAGAGTTCAGTTTTAGGTATTTTAAATTTGAGTATCAAACAATCAACTCAAATGCTTTTGCAAGACTCTGGCAAGAAATGTTAAGAGGTCAAGAAATGAGACCATAAGAAATGGAATGGACTGTGCTCCTAGAAAGTTCAATGTACCGTCTGAAAAGGGCAGTGGCTACTAAACTCCAGCAAACTAATACAAGAAAACCCAGCTTGAACAGTTATACCAAATTTTCCAATTTTTCAAAATCCCTCGCTGGGCGCGGTGGCTCAAGCCTGTAATCCCAGCACTTTGGGAGGCCGAGGCGGGTGGATCACGAGGTCGAGAGATCGAGACCATCCTGGTCAACATGGTGAAACCCCGTCTCTACTAAAAGTGCAAAAAATTAGCTGGGCATGGTGGCACGTGCCTGTAATCCCAGCTACTCAGGAGGCTGAGGCAGGAGAATTGCCTGACCCCAGGAGGCGGAGGTTGCGGTGAGCCGAGATCGCGCCATTGCACTCCAGCCTGGGTAACAAGGGCGAAACTCCGTCTCAAAAAAAAAAAAAAAAAAAATCCCTCAACATTTAAAAACTAAAAATTAATTCAGTAACAAAACTGTACAGACCAAACAAAACACCTGCAGACTTCCTATGGTTCAAACTCCGGACTGCATGAGGGCAGAGACCACTTCTGTCTTGTACTTATACTTTCTCTAGTACCCACCATAGTCTTTGGCACACAGAAGTTACTCAATAATTATCTGCTGGGAAGTCCACAGAAAACTCAAGAAAAACTTAAGACTTCATACACTGCTAGCACATATGCATTACTAAAATTACCCTTTTAGAGGACAATTTGATGATAGTTACCAAAATGTAAAATGCACATATACTTCATAATTACTAAGAATCTAACCTACAGATATCTGCAAAACTATACAAAGATATAAGCAGAAGAATGCTCACTGAATCACTGTTATGTAGAAATGATAGTCAAGAGAATACCTAGCTGCTCTTCAGTAGAGGACTGAATCAAAAATCAGGGTACAACTACACAAGGAATGTTCTGCAGCTGTTAAAGAATGCCATAGATTTGCATGTACTGATATAAAAAATATTCAAGAAATATGTGAGAAAGAGCAAGCATAATGGAGAATAATACATTTACTTTCATATGAACTGTGTATGTGTTGTTTTAAAGATACACATGTACATATTCATAGTTGGCTGTGTAGGAATATATAAATGTTAAAACAATTTTTAAGGAACTTTACTGGTAGTTATATGTGAGGGGAAATAAGGAGTCAAGTAACCTTTACTTCTCACTTTTCTGTGATTATCAAGAGCATGTGCTACTCAATTAAAATTAAGAAGACCTTTCAGGGGTTTTTCAGTTCCTTAAAAACAAAATCTAAACTCTAGAAAGAAAGCCATAAGGATCTCTTCAGCATCTGTCCCTCCAGCTTCATTTCTTATTATATGCCAACAATGCTGACCTATTTGCAAATTCTCAAATATGTCAAGTGCTTACATATGTTCCTTTACATAGATTGTTCCCACAGTCCTCTACTCTCTTGACCTTTCCTACTTCTAATATTCTCCAGGATAACCTTTTTTGACTCTTGCTCTCAACTCTAAAGCAAGTATTCCTTTATATGTACTTACACAGAATCCATTTCAGAGTGTTGTGACTGTCAATTCCCTCCATCTTCCTCCCACTACCAGACATTGAGAAGGGTCTAGCCTTTCATTTCTGAATCCCAAGCACCATGCAGACTCCCTGGCATATGATGAATGCTCATTCAATGAATGAGACCGGGAAGGAGAGACACCATGATTTAACTAAAAATAATGGAACTGTTTGAGAGAAGACCTGAATTCCAGTTCTTGGTCAGGAGATTTTTGGCAAACACTTTACATCTCCGACCTTTACTTTCGTAAACTATGAAATTCTGTTTTATGTTTATTTCTACATTTAATGATTTGGCATTAAATGCCACATATAATGACAGGCACTTTATATACACTATCTTATTTATTCTTTATAGTAATCCTATTAAGTATTTTTCTTTTTCATTTTAAAAGTATGTAAACCGAGACAAAGCAAGAAAGTCATAGTGCTAACAAATTGGTTAAGGTAAATATGGTACTCAAATCAGAAATCTGCCCAAATGCTGGTCTCCTAACCCCTACTTGTATTACCTTCATTTTCGATATTTAAAATTCACATCTCTGAAAAGCTATGTGATTGAGGTCATTTAACTTACAAACAGCAACACACATATCTAAATCAGATTTTTTTCACAATTGTTTTTATGTTATAACATCAAATCGATTATTCATACCTTCTTTGAAAAACTATTGCATGCTTTTAAAACAACCCAGACACTGTACTAACTTAGATGGAAAATTACAGCAACAAAACTTTTTGGAAAACTCCTAATAAAAATAATTTTAGATTTATAAGAGATCTTAAAAATTATCTAATTCAACTACCCACCTGGCATGGGTATCTCTTCATAATATTGCCACAAAGCAGGTATCCATCTTATTTTTTATTTTTTTTATTATACTTTAAGTTTGGGGGTACATGTGCAGATCATGCAGGATTGTTACATAGGTATACATATGCCATGGTGGTTTGCTGCATCCATCCCCTCATTATTTTTGATTCTTACAAAGAACTTATCCTCTAGAGCAACTAAACTTTGAATAATTCTTTAAGAAAGTTATTTCTTATAATATATCATAATCTCTTTCCCGGTAACTTTCACGTATCAATCCTGATTTTAACCTTCTGTCCAAAGTGAACCTGCCTCTTTCATATAATTGCATTTGAAAGATGATTCACTTCCAAGTACCTAAAATTACAGGCACGGATCACCACACTCAGCTAATTTTTACAGAGATGGGGTTTCAACATGTTGCCCAGGCTGGTCTCGAACTTTTGTGCTGGAATTACAGGTGTGAGTCACAGCACCTGACCTCATTACCAGTTATTTTAATCCAATACTTCCTAAACTGGCATCCCTTAAAACATTGTTCCAGAGGTGATTAACAGTTCTCCAAAATGTGTTCCACGTCTAAACCCATCTAAGAAATCACTATACATCCCTCTTAAAAGTATCACAATGATCTTCTGTATTACTTAAGGCCATGAAAAGTTTCAGTTAAAAATAACTTTCCAGCTTTAACTCAAGTGTTTCAGCATGATACTTTAATTGTCCTTGTCAAATCTATTAAGTTTCTACAGAACCATGGGACAATGCTACTTAATGTTTCTTGTATGACATAGCTTATGTTCTCTTTAGTTAGCCTGTCCCATTGTCCTTCAAAAGTGTGGTGGCTAGAATTGAAAACTCCACCAGTACGGAGAAGCAGCACAACTACACAGCTGTATGCTATTGCTAGTTGAAATTTAGCATGCTGTCACCAAAAACCTCAAATCTGCCCTGCCCTGTATCAAGTAACCAGATTTTAGAATCAACTTAATTTCATCTTATTATATTCAACCTGCCAGTTCTTCCTACCTCCCCTCTGATCTTTTCCTCACTTGTCCCATCCAGGAAATGGCTAACTTCCCCACCTTTTCAAAGATAAAACTTTTCATATTAGCAAGGGCTATTTGTCCAAATATAAACAGAAAACATCTTAAAATTTCCCTAGTCTGACCAATGAGTAATAACAGGATTCTGCATTGTCTTAAATGGTCAACATTCTGTCATAACTGTAATATCACATAATATTCACCCATCAATACAATTTGAGCCCTGAGAATTTAAGATGTATATACATTTAAAAAATGGGTATATGAGATATTCTAAAGAAACTCATTTTGCTTTTTTTAAAAAATTTATCCCCTCGAGGGGGTGCCCCATTTCTGGAGGTACTGCAATATCAGATCAATACATGGAGTAGATGGAGCAAGCTCCTATTCCATCTCCCTGCTCCAAAAATCCATTTACTATTTTTGTCCTCAGATAGAGGATATATCAGATATTAAATTGGTAAGAACACGTACTATACTTGATCTTGACCAAAAGGCAGAGAAGCAACGGAAACTCACTTACTAAAAAATAATAAAGCTATGCCATAAAGATCTATCTCCAGAGAAGGAAAAAAAGCTATTCAGCTTACCCTCAATTATTCCTTTCTTGTTCATTTCAACATTAAGTACTATCTCATCTTTCTTTATCCTGTTTGTAGGTTCTTATAATTTACTAACTTCAGGCATTCCCCCCCCCCCCCCCCCCGAGATGGAGTCTTGCTCTGTCACTCAGGCTGGAGTGCAGTGGCACAATCTTGGCTCACTGCAACCTCCACTTCCCAGGTTCAAGTGATTCTCCTGTCTCGGCCCCCCAAGGAGCTGGGACTACAGGTGTGCACCACCATGCCCAGCTAATTTTTGTATTTTAATGTTGGCCAGGCTGGTCTTGAACTCCTAACCTAGTGATCCGCCTGCCTGGCCTCCCAAAGTGCTGAGTGCTGAGACTACTGGCATGAGCCACTGCCACCAGGCCTATTGTGTTTTTTTAACTGAAGATTTCAGCTGAGTATCTTTATACAGAATGACAGAAATAGAAAGCAGAAAATAATTTTTATCAAGGGAAAAGTCTTATGTCTGTTTTATCGGCTGTGTATCTTAACACTATATTTCATGGACAGATTTATGTGGCACCAAATGCAATGAATAAAACATGCACTATTAATAGATTCGGATAAAAGAAATGTTATTTTTTTCTAATCAGAACCAATAATAAGATAAGGATTGGCTGGGTGCAGTGGCTCATCCTTGTAATCCCAGCAGTTTGGGAGGCTGAGGCAGGCAAATTGCCAGAGGTCAGGAGTTCGAGACCAGTCTGGCCAACATGGTGAAACCCTGTTTCTACAAAAAAATACAAAAAAAAAAAAAAATTAGCCAGGTATGGTGGCATGTTCCCGTAATCATTGTAATCACAGCTACTCAGGAGGCTGAGGCAGGGGAATTGCTTGAACCAGGGAGGTGGAGGTTGCAGTGAGCCAGATCGGGCCACTGCATTCCAGGGGGAGACTCTGTCTCAATGGAAAAAAAGGTAAGGATTGAGCAACCAACTTTCAGCCTTTTGTCTTTTAAAAAACTCAATGTTTTTCTATCACCCTTCCTTTAAAATTAGGAGCATTTTAAATGATACAACTACTCTTCTCAGCTTAACGCTGTTCTACTCCAGGTTTTGCCATTACTGAAGATTTTGTAACAAGAAAATATCAGAACTTCAAGTGGACCTTAGATGACCTTGAATACCGCAGACAAGAAAACCAAAAGCAAACATGTCAAAGAGTATTGCTTAAGGTCACAAAATTAGTAATTGAAAAGACTAAGGGCCCAAACCATGGAGTGTCATGTCACCTCAGAAATTCGTAACTCTCAACTCTCTTCCATAATTTAGTCGAAGGTCTTCAACGGCCTTGATATCCCACAGGACATCATACTGACCCACTACACACTAAAGATCATGTTGATACAATGTAAACAGGAAATTAAGAGATTTGTATTTTTTAAACATGTACAGGGAAAAGTGAAAGAAAAAACAAGAACCTAGTTAAGGCTGTGGCAAAAGTAATCGCTGCTTTTGCCATTAGTAGCCATCTTTATGTCTATAAAAATGCAAACAAATTTTATTAACAATGCAAACAAATGCAAACAAAGTTTAAAAGTAATGTCAAAAACTGTGATTACTTTTGCACAAGCCTGAGTATGGTACCTTACATATGCTACTTACTGGTTATAGAAGCAATAAATATGCTCCCATTTTATCCAAAATGTAGAATTTAACTTAATAAACAAGATTTTTTTTTTTAACTGCAATTCATAGTTAGCTCCAAATGGCTGATTTCTGCAATCCAGCACACCCCTACAACTGCTTTACAGACCTATGTTTTGGGTTAATTCATGTCTCTAAAGTTCTATTTTTAAAGAAATTATCTAGAGCCTTATACTGAAATAACACGCCAGTCCATACACAATAAAGGCTCCTTTTACTAGAGAATGACTGGAAACATATGCCAGACTTTGTATATCTCAAGAAATCTCAATCAAAATATTATAGAAGCTGGAAACTACAGAAGTAAAAGACACACTGAAGAGTCACCAATCCCATACTCCCTTTAGGAAAAAAAAAAGTGATATCTCAAAGCCTCCAAAACAAAATGCATGCACATGCATAATTCACAATCAAGAAAGTTCAAAATTACCTAACTTTAACATATTAACAAAAGTGTGTTTCTGAAAGAGGCAAAATTCAAGAATAGCCAGAGAAATATAATCAAATCTAAAACAAGCATACAATACATTCATTCTAAAATACTCCAGAATCAATCTGAGTGTTACCTAAATATCCAAGGAAGCACACCTGTCCTAAACATTAGGGCAAAACAGACATACCAGTTGTCCTCTTGTCACTTTCAGATGTGGAGCCACATTCCAAAGTGTTCTAAAAATTTGTTTCCTTACCCTGATAAGCCAAAGAATTCAAGAGAAAGAGGGATCCTGAGTAGAATGACAAAAATGGTTTTGTAAACAAGTGGAACTGAGAAATTAAAAGTTGTGCCATATTTAACTCTAGCTTTCAGAGATATACTTTTTCCCTAAATTTTAGACTTTCAAAGATTCCTCTCTAGCTCACTTTCAAAAGAAAAAACAGAAGAAAGGAAAAAAACCTCTCTGAAGTATGAAGCAAAAGGCCAAGAGAGGATAGCAAATCACAGGATATTCAAGTTACAACCTGAATCAAGCCTTTATTTTTAAGTGCTAACTATATCTCCTTTAATTTCAACCATCTTAATATTTATTAAAAAATGTATTTTTAAATTTGTACGGCCTTTCAAAAACAGAAAGTATATTAATGAAAAAATGGGAAGCACAATTTTAGCAAAATATTAATGAAAATTGTTTAAAGGAACTGTCACCTGTATTGAAACTACCTAAACTGAAACTTCATCTTCCAAGTTACTGTAAAAATTTAACAAGTTGTTACGTGAACATTATATAATCTTAACGTGGGTTTTAAAAACTCAACGTAATAATGAAAAACAATTTTTAAGAATATCAAAATGTGCCTTTATGGAGGCCCATTAGATCTTTATGACATTCCTTGAATTATATAGTACTAAACTACCGATTTGTTAGTTAGCTCAGTTGTCATTGAGTATGGTACACAGAAAGCACGGTTGCCAGATCAATGGAGGTTTTTCAGTTTGTTTTTAAGCAGCAATTCACTTTAGTGACAGACTGCACTGCAGCCAACACGGTTGGAAAATGAGAAGAGTTAATCAAAAGTGTGTGAATACGGAAGTCTAAAATTATTTCAAAATAAGTGTATAGATGGATCAGTTCAATTCGATTTTAAGTTGTTTTTATTAAAGAATGATGGCATATTTTATTGCTAGAAGTTAAATACATAATGGATAAGAGTTTTAATATTAGATTTAAATTTAGAGTAACTTAAAAATAGAACTACTTAAAAAAACTGTAACAAATACTTTAAAAATTTTTTGCTTTAAACCCAAAGGTGTATATGCTCTTTTAAGTCAGGATAAAGATATCTACACATTCTTGTCCAAATTAAGTACACTATTCCTTACACAAGGTCTTTCGTCTGTTATTTGAAATCTGAACATAGAAACCACATTTTATTTTCTTGCCTCCTCAACCATCTGGCAGTAAAATAAGAATATTCCGCATTAATATGCAAATATGGACAATTTTTACAGCAATTACTTGATTTGTATTCACAAACTCTATTTAAATGGACCTGTCTTCCTTCTCCCAACAATAAAATAACATCATTAAACCTGAGGCTTAATTTCGGTCCATAAACTGGGTTTGTTCTGATTATTAATAATTCTTATTTCATGATATATCCAGTAATGCACATATTTTAAGTGTTGATACGTATTACAATATTTGGCAATAATTTCAAGTTCATTATTCCAACCTCTTAAGTGAAAATTATCAAAGCAGTGCCTTAAGCAGAAAGCATTAATATTTATCGATTGCAGCACTAACAGTCATCTTTATAAAGATGCAAACCAATTTTGTTAACAATGCAAACAGATGCAAACAAAGTTTAAAGTAGAATGTTTTAAATGTGTGCCCTGAAAACAAGTCTATCATTAGCCCCCAAAAGAGATTCAATTCTGAAAAGATCCAAATGGAAGTCTGTCAAACTGTATACATCATGGTGATTCTCGAAAGGAAAACAGGTTGCCATCATTCAAATAAGCAAAATTCTACCAACAATTCAACAGGTCCTTTAAATGTTATTCTCCTTACACACGCAACATATCCTGTTTCCTGGTTATAACGCCATTCTCAAGTACAAAATCGGACCAATTTTGAAGAGAAGTCAAGACTTAAAAAGCTCCGCGGTGGCTCACGCCTGTAATCCCAGCACTTTGAGAGGCCAAAACGGGTGAATCATGAGGTCAAGAGATCGATACCACTCTGGCCAACACAGTGAAAACCCGTTTCTACTAAAAATACAAAAATTAGCTGGGCGTGGAGGCGTGAGCCTGTAGTCCCAGCTACTTGGGAGGCTGAGGCAAGAAAACGGCTTGAACCCAGGAGGTGGAGGTTGCAGTGAGCCGAGATTATGCCACTGCACTCCAGCCTGGCGACAGAGCGAAGACTGTCTCAAAAATATATATATACATATCAAATATCAGCTCCTGCCGATATTGCCTCTTTGATATTTGCCTATATTAGGATTCCCATATAACATAAAGGTTACAGGGCATTTAAGACTGTAAAGACAGTTAAAGCTTAAAGAACTCAAATATTAAGTTAAATTTGCGAAAATTTGGTGCCCAAATAAGGAGCTTCGCAACATCTCAGATATCAAAGCCAGGATTAAATCCCGTGCCTCCTGACTCCGAGTTCTGTGGTCTTTCCAGTACCCTCAAAGAAACACTTTTAAATTAGTGGTTTAAAAACTACCAGATGTCAGGAAACAAAGGCAGTGCCACGGCGTGTGCTGCGGCGTGTCGGGGCAGAGGCGAGATTCTTCACCCCTCCCCTC